TTCCAAAACAAGGTCTTTACAAGCACCAAACTCCCGTGTGGCTTCAGGAGCCCCATATTTGGGCGGACGAACTCTCCGTTTGAGATCCGGGGCCACTTTATGGAGGAAGAAAAAAGAATAAATCCGCTGCGTCCCTAGCAAGCATGTCGTAAGAGTTGACTAATTCGGGGGTTACTTTAAGGTTGGAGTGCATCTGCATGAGATGCCAGGAACTAAAAGTCTGCATACACATGAGCCAGATCTGTAAAACAGGTGTACATGTAACTCTCAGGTTCTGGAACAGGACTAAAGTTCAAAAGGGGACGAACAGCCATAACTTTCCGCCGGGGATTACAGCCGGTGAACGTAAAGAAAAGGAAGACAAGGGCCCTTTTTAAACCAGTGAGGCAAAGGGTATATGATGCCAGACAATGACGTGGTGCCCATTTGAGGCGTCGTCGACCGGAGAATCAAGGTCAGTTTTGAAAAGAAATAAATCTGACTGTATGCGGACTCTGAGCTGAACACCTTTGGGAAAGAGGGGTGGGGGGTCTTAAGTCATATATTATATCTTTAAAGACTTTTGTTTCTACTTGTTATAAGCATGTACATTATAATAATTGTTATTGATTTGACACTCAGCCTATTATTATTTTGCTTCAAAACTAGAAGTATCCCCTTTGAGCCTCTCATTATTCTTATCTTATAAAATGTGTGAGGCGGGAAAGGGTGGTAGCTTTTAACACTCATGTTGACTTTGTGTCGTCGCGTCTGTCCTGAAGTGGTATCAATGAGCGGGATACATACACTGGTCCTCTGAACCTGACTTCAAGAAGTCTAGATCTTCAATATCCTTTCCCAGCACCAAGGCAGGAGACAGTTGACCTCCCTCTTCTAATTTTATAACATCTCATCGTACGCACTAATGGATCCCGATCTGCGAGAAACGAAAATGGACTTTGTCAACCCTAGCCACTCCTCGTTCCTTTAGTAAATTGTCTATTATTTCTCCCTTGTTCAAGCCCTCGCCTTAAAAAAAAAAAAAAAAATCCAAAACCAATTTATGAGTTTCGTGACATCAAGTAATATTTTTCAATCAACATTCATAATTCACCAACAAACAATTGCCCCTTGACTCGGCTGGTAAAATATCTCTTCGTCTTCAGACATAAAATCGTGTATTCCCCGCCCTTTCTTTGCTGGTCCCTAATAGTGCCCGGTTAAATGGCTCCCGCAAACAACCGTATTTTCCCGGTCAATTAATGAGTCTAGACCAGATTTTTCCCCCTTGTTTTCGTATCAGGCCAATTCACGGTTGTTCGCGTCACGGTAAACGTGACTCTGGCCTCAGTAAAAATTGCACTGGCAATTTGATTACAGGCGGAGAATCGCGGATTTATGTGCTGAATTTATGGCCTTCACTTAGAAACTTGACAGTTGTCGTCAATTTGGAAGGAGTGAAACTTGACTGTTGTCCTCAATTTGAAAGTAGTGAAACTTGACTGTTGTCCTCAATTTGAAAGGAGTGAAACTTGACTGTTGTCCTCAGTTTGGAAGGAATGTCTTTAGAAAAGTGACTGTTTTCGTCAATTTGGTTAGACGTCTTTAGCTGATTTAGGCAGTGTGCGTTGTTAATATAGATAGCCGTTGTGGACGATTTTGGTAGAGTACATGTAGAAACTTGGCTGTGCTTTTCGCGATTTTGGTGGACTACATGTAGAAATTTGGCTGTGCTTTTCGCGATTTTGGTGGACTACATGTAGAAATTTGGCTGTGCTTTTCGCGATTTTGGTGGACTACATGTAGAAATTTGGCTGTGCTTTTCGCGATTTTGGTGGACTACATGTAGAAATTTGGCTGTGCTTTTCGCGATTTTGAAACAATATTAGGAAGCTTGACAGTGGGCATTTCTTATCGAATGGTCACGTCAGTGGGCTACATCCTGGTATCAGTGAGACGACAAAAGATGAAGATGGAAGAAGACAGTCGTAGGTTATCAACTGTGGCAGAGTACAGGCATAGAACTGACCGTTGTCCTCATTTTAAATAGAGTATATCTCATAGAGTTGTAGAATTTTTTATTCAGAAACATAATGTTGTCGGCAATCCTGGGGGATTCAATTTAGAAACCTAACTAGTAAACTTTGGCAGAACGTATGTAAATAATCTGGACACAAACAACGCATTGCACAATTTATTATCGGCATATTTCACAGCATCTTGTTGTGTACATCACTACATAAACATATAATGACCACCCCCCCCCCCCCCCCCCAGATGAAGTCAGTGCAATTGAATATAGAAATCATTTTGACTTCTTAAGTCACACTGTACGTTTCGCCACTAGAATTTCCAGATTGCCTACTATGGAACTTTGACCTTTACCACATGTTCTATTTACTTACACAAGGCGGGTATGTTGATGGTGTGTATGTGTGTGTGTGTGTATGTGTGTGTGTGTGTTGGAAGGAGGGGGGGATATTGAGTATACCTAAATAGTTCAGTGTATCACCATCTCTCT